GCATTTTTCAGAAATACAAAATCTTCTATGCAATAAAATAACTCAAGAGAAACACATCTGATTACCCTCCGTTGGGAGTTGTTTATTTTAAAACACATTGATTCTGTACTGTGATTTTTTTAAAATTTAAAATCATTACTCATAAAGAGCTAAAATCTCACAATATCAGAGCCAACCTTTGTTCTTACTACTGTGTATTTGAGACTGTTGACTCCTATTTGATTGTGTGAAATATTCGGGAAACTATGGCATGTGCTCTTCGGTCCCTTCCTGATGATAGGATCGTTAGTGAATTTATTTTCCAACTACAGGTCAGAGAGAGTGTTTTTGCTTGTTTTCATTTTATCAACCAAACACAATTTGGAAGGTTCATACTAGACAATGTCATCATGAATCACCAGTATGACAAGATCAGGAGTTAGCCATCTGTGACTGTGGAAGAAATTCAGTCACCAATTTTTTTATTGGTGACTTTTTATTTTTATTCCATGTCTTGCAAACCACTAATGGATTTTATAAGTGTAAATGCCTGAAACAAAATACAAATAATAGTATTTTATGACACATGAAAAGCATATTCAAATTTCAGTGCCCATAATTTGTTATTAGAAGAGTCATACACAATTTGTTATTGGCTATGACGGATTCTGCAACATAGTAGGAAAGTTGAGTATTTATTTAAAACAGAGATCTTGTGACCCCCTAATCCTATAATTGTTATCATCTGGCCTGTAGTGGACATTATGTCCCTCCTAAAATCATATGTTGAACTTGAAGCCCTAAAGGTAACTGTATTCTCAGACAGAAACCTTAATTAAGGTTAAATGAGGTCATAAGGGTGGGGTTCAAATCTATAAGACTGATATTTGTGTAAAAAAGGAGGATACACCATCAGTGTGGTTGAAGAGAGAAAAGGCCATAGGAGAAGCACACAATCAAAACCAAACTTCAAAACTGTAAGGAAATAAAATTTCAGTTGCTTAAGCCACTGATATTTGGGTATTTTTATTAGGGTACCATAGGGGATTAACACATGGCCCTATACAAAATGCTTGCAACTCAGGTCTAGGCTACCCTTTCCCTTTCCTTGCCTCTACTGTTTTGGCTCTGTGTATGTGTACCTGTCTGCTAACTAGATATTTGTTAGTAATTTTTCTAAAATGACAGCCTTCCAAATATGAAATTTATATTGCTTCCTTAATTAATTGTGTGGCTACTCATCTAAAAAGTTTATATTTGTTTTTGAATTATTTTTGATTCTTCTGATTTTTGTTTGTTTGTTTGTAATCAAAATTGAATTTCAGTTGGCTTCATTCTGTTACGCACCCCATGTCACATACTACTTTTGCCTCTTTTCTTCAGGAACATTCATCCGTGCCACATGGACACAGAAATATAGCCCAGAGCTGGTTGATCGTAAATCAAATCAAGTCCAAGTAGCTCCCTTTTCAGATTCAGTGTTCTCCAGAAGTGGGAATCTCAGGATGTTTCAAAGTAACAAAGAAATCAGAAACTCTGGCTGTTCCTGAGTCTGATTCAAACTACAAAAATGTTATCTTCCATTGAATCCTACTTTATTGTACATTGGTGCTCAAATTTTTCAATAGAAAAGAGGGGAAAATCTTGCTTCTATACACATATAGAATAAATATCAGGAATAAAATAAATATCAGGACATAAATAATATAAGAATAAAACAGGAGTTGGAATCATGACGATAATCATTTAGTCTAGTTCATGCTCATAGCTTCATAGATGAGGGTTTTGAATAATTTGATCTTTGCTTTTATCAGTCAACCTAGGTTGGGTTGGGTTGCAGTAGTTGCAGTAAACAAAACAAGAAATAATTTCTCATTCTCCTTACTCAAGTGGAAGGGTAGGGAAGGAGTGGGTGAACTTTTTAGCATATATTACCTTAGGGACTGGAGCTGGTAGAGGCTCTATTTTAGTACAAGCTTCCATGGGCATTGGGCAGAGAGAACTGTCTTGCACTGCTACTTTAAATGATTTCCTCTAAGAATAACATGTTACTTTCACTTTCATGTTGATACTGATGGTTATCACCGACAGGAGATCTGCTCTCTCATACGTTGAAGTATAACATTAGAGAAGCATGCAGAGTCAAGCATATAAAGCAGGATTTATTTTTTTTTAAAGGGGGCAGAGGGTAATAGACTTTTCCCAGGAGGGAGAAGGGGGCCATAGCTGGTATCCTGGTATCCCCAGAAGCAAGGCATTCTGCCTTTTTTATATGCCTTGGGCTTCTTTTGTTCTGTAAGGAACTCTAAGGAAATAAAATTTCAGTTGCTTAAGCCACTGAGATTTGGGTATTTTTATTAGGCTCTCTTCCCCTTATCTCTCTCTTTCCTGCCTACATGACTAGGCCCAGGAAATGTTTGGTGGGATGGCCAAAAGGTGAGAAGCAGATGAGCTGGAGGGGCCAAGGTGGCATGATCTGGGCAGGAAGGGGGCGGGGCGTAATTAACAACTCCCTGAAGGGCGGGACAATCTCTGAGACAGGTTGGAGCAGGGGGAGGTTATCTTGATAAGGGTGGAGGAAGGGCTCTAAAGGCATTTCAATACCTCAGGGGGCAGTCTCCAGCTTCCTGGGACTCACTCAGATTGGCCTCCTTGATCTGACCTGACTTGATTTACCTATTTACTAACTGCCTGTTTAATTCTGGCTTCAATATCAATAGCCAAAGAAAGTCACAGGGCTATATAAGGGAACAGGGACATGCCATCCTATTGTGCCCAGAAAGAGAACTAGAACATTTGTAAAGAGTCTCAGTGTCTGCCACAAACAGCAATTACTACAACTTAATACAACTAAACTAAAAGCTACTACAATTCATCCTCTCCCTCATTTGAAGGAGACAGACAGTGTGTTTCTAATAAGGCATTTAAAGAAAAAAAAAACAAATGTTTTCTTCTCTCCTAACATTGTTCTTACCATCTTTTCAGATATAGCAGTTAAGGTCTGTCAGTAGAGGGGAGACCGTTCCCCAAAAAATAGAAAAGGAAGGCTTGCGTTTTCCTCATTTCTAAATTTGAGGAAGAGAAAAGAATGCTTCTTATGTTTGCTTTTTTTCTTCAGACAGTACTAATTATGAAGATAGATTTTAAAAAGTACTCAAGATTTCATCTTATAGCTTCTCTAAAACAGTAGGAAAAATTCAGAATCTATGTGACTTATGGTTTGAGACTTCAGAAATAAAAGATTCACAGTAGACGGGCCAATATTGGCTCTATGGACAACAAATGTCAATAATAACATGGGAAAGACAGTGGAATGAATCTGACCTAACTTTCCCATATGAATATACCACAGTGAATTTCACTATCATGTACAAGACACTAATTAACAACAACAACAAATCTGTAAGCAAATAGCAGAAATTTCAGTAGAGTAGAGGGAAGGGAACTGGAAGAGGGAAGAGGGAAAGGAAAGGGGAATAGGGACTGAATTGGAGCAAATTATATTCCATGCTTTTATTATTATGTCAAAATGAATCTTAATGTCATGTATAACTAAAAAGAGCCAATAAAAAATCAATTTTTTTTTTAAGTGAAGGCACTTCTCAAGGAAGTAGAAGATCCAACTCTCTGGGCATATATGTAACTGTTATAAGCATGATGCATGTAACCAAAGTTCCCACAAATCACTAGAACTATAGTAAGCTACAATAACATTAATTTATATGTGTGAAATTATGTAAACACTCTAAACTTTTTATCAAACCAGAGAATAATAGCAAAAGCAATGAAAACTAAGTTGGTTACAGGTGCTCAAGTGCAAGAAAATGTATCATAACAAAACCCATGTAGAAACAATCCCAGCCCACATAATTGCAATTTTACCAAGTCTCTGTGAGTGGGAGACTCAAAGTAACTAACCTCCTTAAAAGAAGAGATATTAAGGAACCGAATCAATGCTAAGAATCTAGTGTCTTGATTGCTACTTCAAGGTTTACTACACCCCCTTATCTTTCAGCAGTTAACTGAATTATTTTCCATGAAGGTGCTCATCTATACAATTTCTAGAATTTTCAATAATGACGTTCCACACAACTATATTTATGAAATGATGTTATCAGTATAAAATATAGATGACTATTATGGTTTGGATGTGGTGTGCCCCAAAAGCTCACATGTAAGACAATGCAAGAATGTTCAGAGAAAATTTATTGGGTTATGAGAGTTTTAACCCAATCAGTAATTAATCCCCTGAAAGGTATTAACTGAGTGGTAATTAAATGTAGGTAAAGTGTGGCTGGAGGAGGTGGGCATTGGGGAGTGTGGCTTTGGGGTATATTTGTATCTGGCCAGTGGAATCTCTGCTTTCTGATCATGATGTGAGCTTCTTCCCACTGCCACAAACTTCTGCAATGATATTCTGCCTCACTTGGAGCCCCAAGGAATGGAGCTGTGGATTGATACCTCTGAAAATGTGAGCCCCAAATAAACTTTTCCTCCCCTACAATTGTACTGGTTAGGTCCTTCAGTCACAGCAGTGAAAAAGCTTACTAAAATAATGACTTAATTCACATGCAACACCTTTGCAAATTTCAGTGAATTATATCACTCTGTTATGTTATCTTCACTCTTCTTGATACACTTATGAATTATTATACATTTTAAGACTACCAAGTGATTTACTTAACTTGGCTTCTCAATATCTGTTTACAGAAATATGTATTATTTTCCTACCTAAACTGGGTAGTTTAAAACAACAGAAATTAATTTTCTCTTAGATGTGGAGGAAAGAAGTCCAAAATTAGGATGGGTGGGACTATAGTCCCTCTGTAGCCCCAGGGGGAAGTTTCTTTGTTTTTTCAAGCTTCTAGTGTCTATCTAGAAATTCCCGGAAGTTCCTGGGATTAAGGCCATGTCACTCCATCTGTGCTTCTGTCTTCATGTCACCTTTTTCTCTTCTGTCAACTCTCACTTCTGTGTTTCTGATAAGGAATAATCTGCTTATTAAATGTGTTTTATTTCAGGCCCACCCATGTAATCCAGAAAGAACTCTTTATCTCAAGATCCTTAGCTTAATTACGGGAGCAAGGACCATTTTTCAAAATGAGGTAAAATTCACATGTTCTAGGAATTAGAATTTGGATAAATCTGTTTTAAGGGTACTATTCCATCCACTACAAGGTGTTTTTCTTAACATGATTTTTGTCTCTTGGGAATAGAAGATTAATTTCTTTCTTAATCTGATTACTAATAAATATTTGGAGGAAGGGAATGAGGAAGAGCACCAAATCCAGACAGGATGACTTAAAAATGTCTCTATCTGTGGACAAACCATTGTTATAAAAAGAAATAGCTAACAAATTTGATGAAAAGTAGTTGATAAGAGCCTACAGTGTCCTGACTAGGGGCCAAAGAAATCCTATTTGATCGCTAAAATATAAACTAGCTTTTCCTAACTCTTGACAATGAGTTTATGTAGGAAATTAATGTACAATTTCAAGAGGCTGCTTTTTATGAGTAGTGAATGAAAAGGTTATAAAGACTATCTACCTCAGATTTCTCAGCAAGCAAAATTCTACTGCTTTAATGGTACTGTTATTAGAATTTGCACTTAAGTGGAAATGCTTTTTAAACTGAAGTGTTTAAAATTTGAGGGTAAGATTTTAAATTTGAATTGGATTATCTAAGAGTCATTTCATCTCATTTAAGCCTCAGTTTACCATCTGTACAATGGAGATAGTTTATTGATAATATTCATAACAATAATGATGATAGATTTCTATTTTTAGAATTTTTTAAAAAATAGAAATGAAATATCAATAATAGCTATCCTGATTAAGCCAAAATATTTCTCAACAATTTTTTATCCTCCTCCTCATCATTAAAACCATTAACTATATATACCAAAATGCTTTTCTTAAAATAGTTGTAACATGAATGGAACTAAGAATTATTAGGCCCCAGACTAGAACCAACCTACCTACTATACTCCTTTGTTGGCATGCTTTAGTGGTTTCATGTATGTACTTATTCTATTTCAATTACATATGATAATCACTTAGTCTCTAATATGTATAAAGCAACAATGAGGCATTCAGAAAATATCACAAGTTCTTCCCATAACACATTTCCAGTCATACCATCCTGCTGTTATTCAATAAAGATCCAGTGTATGAACAAGTTGATTAGATTTGAAAGCATTTAATGCAACAGGGCTTAAAGAGGGAGAAGCCCTTTAGGAAGAAACCATAAATCAGTAAAGTCAAATGCAATAAGCCAGTACCATGATGAAACTAGAATAATAATTTGTAAACACATTTAATAAGCAGATTAAACACAGGGAGGAAATTGTTAAGAAATTCTTAATGATTAATGTTGATGGAATGCCTGAATAACAAAGCAGACAATTAATCAAAGACAAGTAGAAATTAATGTTTGTGATTTGTGGCCTGGAGTTAAAGGTCTAGTAAGAAAGAAAGGTGGAATGCTCCATGAGAGAATGCCTGAAAAAAGATATGGAATAAATATTGTTGTTTACCTCAAAGCAACAAGTTGGTAGGTTGCAGCAAAAATTTAGGTCAGAATAACTCACTAGTAATTATCTGGTTGCTAAAACAATGGAATGCAAGGCAGGAAAACTTTGCACAATGTCAGCAATTATATCACAACACTGGTAACATCCATCTGGCCTTCCTATGGGTTGAGACTGGAGTGAAATCCTGGGACAGAACAGCTGGGATGTGCATCAGACCTCTATGCCTTCACTTATTATTTCCTTTTGTAAAATGATGTGTCTTACAGATAAATATATTATGTGTCAATGCTCTTATTCTACCGAAATATACTTAAATTTAAAAAGTATGAATTTTGACAAAAGTAGTAAAATAATATGTAAATTTATCATTTCCTCAAAAATCCAAAGGAAGTCAAACAAATTCTCAGAATGATTTTCCAAGTAAATAATTAGGCTTATCATATATATATCTGTAGTTGCAAACTAATAAAGTTAAACTTTATATAAGGAATTATGGTGAGAAACCATTCAGACAAAACAATCACTTCACAATTAATTAAACAGCACAATGCAAGAGTTATGAGAAAACCCACCTCTGTAATTTGTCATCTAAGGGTTCTCTCTTTGATTCATTTCTCCTCCCCACACACCAGATTGACCATTTTTCAGATAGAAACCTACTCACTATTGAGATATAATTTGTTAAAGGAAAAAAGCCTGTGCCACATTTTTGCAGCAATGCCCACTTCTAGATTAGAAATTCTGGAGTCAAGTTTAACTAAAAAGTGGAGGCAGATGCACAGTGTGAGCAGTAAGGGCATTTCTTGTCTTCCTGGACATTTTGTTTGATTTTTGTTTTTTTTTAAGATGAAGTCAAGTGTGCATGGGTGTGTGTTAAAGTTCATTTTGCTCAAACTACAATTTTATAGAGTTCCAAAATATGTACTACATCTGGTTTATTGTTCCCTCCCAAACATTGGACAAAAAAAGACACTTTTCTTAAGTGATCCACATCATCTCCAGGGTTGTATGGTTTGAATGTGCCCCCCCCCAAAATTAGGAGTTGGAAACTTAGTCCCCATGCAACAGGGTAGGGAGGTGGAGGCTAATGAGAAGTGATTTGGCCATGAGGGTGGTGCCATCATGCAGGAAATACTGCCACCATAGTGTGAGTGGATTCATTACTGTGGGACTGAGATTGTTACTGAGGGAGTAATTGCATTATAAAAAGATGGATTCAGTCCCCTCCCCCCACACACACCTTCCTTCTCTTTGCCTTTCTGTCATGGAATGATACAACAAGAAGGCCCTCATCAGATGCTGGCTCCTCAATTTTGGACTTTCCAGGCTTCAGAACTAGAAGGAAATACATTTCTGTTCCTTACAAATTACCGGTCTCAGCTTGTTTGTGTTAGAAGCCCACACTAGACAAAGACACAGGGCATCATCTGTATGTTCTCTTTCTTCTATACCTTCTTGATCCTATTCTGGTTATCACATGAAGTCCTTTCTTAAAAAAAGTTCTGTCTGTGAAAGATGAGCATATGAAAATTCCAAGCCACTAGTCTAGGAAACTGACACAGGATTGATCACTGCAACAGACCAAATGTCAAGTAAAGAGCAGTTAAATTATCAGAAAATCTGACAGACTGTCTCTAGTCAGGGGCCAGTTATGTAGGTTAAAACTAGTTATGTAGGTTAAAACACAGGAGGGCAGCTGTAAAAGGTTGAAATTCATTGTTACTTGGAGAGATAGGAGTCCAGATTGTGAGGCATGGGTACTTCTTTTTCCGGAATTTATTGTCTCCCAGAGTTTCAGTATTCACCTCCTTTCTTCAGGGCCCCTTGTTTGATATTTACTGTGTGTCCTTTTAGGACTAATATGCAATGAGCGAAGGTCAAAGTCCAGAGCCTAACATTCAGTATTCACCTCCTTCCTTCAGGGCCCATTGTTATCAGGAAAGATTTACTGGAAGGTTAATGCTTGGCTAGTTTCCCCTCCCTCATCCACAGCTGCATTGCCTCTCCACTTTTCTTTGGGGGGTTGTCTGGTAGGAGTATTATTTTCCATAACTCTTCAGAGAGCAAGCTTCAAAACCTCAAGAACCTCAAGGGGAGGGGGCAAAAGGAGCAAGCTCATTGCCAGCAGTTCTTGGACATGGCAGCCCCTGTAGATACTCAGAAAGTAGGTTCACATCTGTGAACATTGTGATCAGGGTGTCAGCTTCTATGTGAGTGGGCTCTTGCAGGAAGGGGGAAGGAGAGGAGAAGCAGGGTGAAACATCTGGGCAGAATGGAGTCAGCTTGACTTAGCATCTAAATTAACCCATAGTTATGCTAACAGGCGTTATATCCCTAGGAACTTTGAGAATCCCTGACTTCTTTCCTCTCAGTCACTGTCCTGATAATAGATGCAAAAAAAAAAAAAAAAAAAATTCTCAACTCTATTTCACCAATAATTTAATTTTTTTTTATGGTATGTTATAGTAAGTTCTGCATCATTGCTCAAAGACTTATAATAAAACACATTACAAATATAATATTGCATCATCCTGATGCTAGAGATACTTTTTGTTTGTATCCTGACAAACCTTTGTTTTCTTATTTCTGCTTCCAAAATACCCTGTGAATATACTCACTGCTGCATGAGTCATGCTGTATTATTAATGTTTGTATTTATGTTTACATTTACCACTAAGAACTATTTTGAAGCTGAGGATGAGTTTTATTCATTTTCATGTTCCTGTGGCCCAGACCACATCCTAGAAAGTCATCTGGCTCATAATAACTGTTTGAATGATTCAGCACAAGCTGGCTAAGAGAATGCATTAACAGTGTTTTGCTGACTTAGATATTTTCCAGTGTTATTTAATATTTATCTAACACTTGTAGAGGATCCCACATAGAACCAAATTTGATAGGATTGATGGTCATCACAGTTCTTTGCAACAAGTACAATATTCCCTACGTTACGGGTTACAGTGTTTGAATAGCTCAAAAAGAAGAACAGACATCTCAAAGTCACCGTTTTTGTTGGTGTTGGGACAGAGCTTGATCATAGGTTCTAAAATACACTTTAAAAAATCCTCTTCTCCATAATTCCATTTAGTCTATTAGGCAACAAATTCTCCTTTTAAAAAGATCTTAAATTTCTTAAGTTTACCAGTTTTGTATTCCTGTGCATCATTTGCATTTGAATGTGGTAAATGAACATTACAAGTTTTTCTTTGTACATTAAATATGATTGTACTTTATTTTCTTTTATGTTGATTTGGAAGCAAGTGAAATAGAGGAGGATAGAGTTTTGTAAAATACTTTCCCATTGGAATGAAAGGCTATCGGACTAACTGGTGGATAAAAAGGAATCCCATTTTTGGACCAAATGTGAATTGAAAATACAGTATTGGAGTGCTTAAATAAGTAAAAGAAGGTCAAGTGATCAAGAAAAGGGATTGTGAGAGGGAATGACCAGATTAAATAAGGTACCATTGGGAACAATTTTATGTCAGACCTGTTACATTCAGAATAGGACAAGTAAGATGATAAGGAGAGATAAGAGAAGGCCTTGGATTTTTTTTTTTTTTTTTTAGTCTG